TTGTAATGAGTTACGTGCTGTGTTTTTCTAATTTTGTAATGAGTAACGTGTTGTGTTTTTCTGATTTTGTAATGAGTAACGTGTGGTGTTTTTCTGATTTTGTAATGAGTAACGTGTGGTGTTTTTCTGATTTTGTAATGAGTTACGTGCTGTGTTTTTCTAATTTTGTAATGAGTAACGTGTTGTGTTTTTCTGATTTTGTAATGAGTAACGTGTTGTGTTTTTCTGATTTTGTAATGAGTAACATGTTGTGTTTTTCTGTTTTGTAATGAGTAACGTGTTGTGTTTTTCTGATTTTGTAATGAGTAACGTGTTGTGTTTTTCTGATTTTGTCAGGATCTACAGCCAGTGTTGTGCTGTCTTCAGAGCACATGATTATCATCTTGGTGGTATTTTTTGCTCTGGTGTTTGGTATGTGCCTGTCAATCTCAATTTCTTGCTATAATAAGATCAAGGAAAGAAATGAGCGGGAACGAGAGTACCGACTGCGTCGCTCCAAAGAAGCATCAATGGAAATAGATTTAGACAACAAAATTAGTAGTTTGGATAAGAACGAAGGATTAATAATGACCCCCCATACGAAGATGAGATCTCGGAAGAGTAATAATAAAGAATTACAAGAGGCAGAAGGAGACGGATGTCACGTGCCAGAGCTCGATAAGTATCCTAATGGTGGTTCTTCAGTGAACAGAGCGGAGGACCACAGCCCAAGATCTCCGCCCACTAGACAAGTAGCAATTACGATTTTACCCGATGGTAGTCAACACTATCCGTTCTGTAGTTACCATAGAGGTAGTGAGAGTCCTCCCCTACCTCCACCTCCCCCGCCCCCGCTACCCCCTCACCTACGCAGAAACAGAGAAGGAACCTCGGAAGGTCTTGTCATTGTTGACAATCAGTGTCCGAAGCACAACACTCTTCACGCGCAGCGAGTCCACGGCCGCGAAGTGCCTTCCTTTCCACAGGAAGTGCGAACAGAAGCAGTAGTTGAGCTGTATCCGGACAGTCCTGGAGGTTGTCGCCAGAAGTATGACCACAATACATGAAAGTTTAGTCGCAGGGAGTAGCCAAACCTCGCGACTAATATATGGTTTGACGTATAAAGTGCGAATAGAGTCGCAAGAAAGACCAACGCCAATTAAATTAAAAGTCTCACTTTGCCGATGTTCAAATATTAAAATACTTCAACCAGTTTGATCATACTAGCCTATCAAGAACAGTCAAACAAAGCGCCACCTAGTGATCTTAGAACAATTCCTGCCCCGTGTGTGGAAGGGAGTTAAAATACAGTGGCATTTAACTTAAAGAAATAATAGAAGAGATGATTACTGGTAATAATAACCTACTCGTGTTGCTCAAGTAAACGTGCCAACTTTGACCTTTGCAAGTGGAGGAACGTTATTGTCAAGAATAATTATTTCGAACGCCATCTTTAGTTCTGAGAAATGTTTACTAAATTTTGCAAGAAACCCCAAAAAACAAAATATTACAAGCTTCCAAAATATCATCTATTACAACAAATATACAGTCCAATCTCTTGTGTACGCCTCTCACGAGCCAGTGAATAATGATTAGAATTATACTTGTAATAAGACAATAGTGTTAGGCCTAACACTGATGTATTATGACAAGTATAATTGTAATCCTTCTTCGCAGGCTTGTGAAAGGAGTTCACACATAACAATTGTAGTTGTATCAAGTGGCTATAATAAGCAGTGTTCCGAACACTGGTGTGTTTGTTGTATCCCATTTGGCTTGAAAAGCTCTGGATTGAGCAAAACGCGTCTTCGGTAATGGATATGACAAATACAGTTTGGTTGGAATACTGTCATACTAATTCTTGAAACGTCAGAAGGGACTAGATTAAAAATGTGTTAGGCCTAATGTTATTGTCTTATGACAAGTACGTTTGCATAAAGTGTTAAGTACAGTATTATTTGATTTGAAACATTGTTGCTCCCATTTATTTGGTAAAAAAAAAAAATGATACGTAAGCGTGAAGATTTGAAACAAGCATTGTCTATAGTGAAAATTAATAATATGTAACCGTCAATAATCGTTTGTGAAAGTTCAGTACATTACTTTTTGAGTGCCTTTAAAACGTCGTGCTCAGGCACTTGCTTCTAGTTTCCAAAGACTTTGTTGTATTGGGTTCATATCACAAATGGGAAGAGTAACATGTTTAAAGTGTTTTATAAAAAATATTTAAAAGAACATAGCGTATTACAGCTCCAGTTTCTCGCTAATGTACAGGAAGCGAATTGGTTAACTTTTTATCATTTCCGCTCTGCTTTACAAAATTTACTCTTTTTGAATTTGCGTTCTTGGGGTTTTTCCATAAATATTAGAACATTTGGAGTTTCACCTTAAAGAAAAATGATGTATGTGATGAACTTGGTTATAAGTATCTTAGATGTATCCAAATATTTGTTGAATATTTCAATAATAACTTAGAATGCGACATACAGATAAAGATTAACATCATTTTTAAGGTAATGCATTTTGTTCAAAAAGTTTTTATTTGGATTATTGAATTATAACACAATGGGATCGGTGCTGATCCGAATTACTCCTTCAGGAACCGAAAGATAAGTAAATCCACGAGAAGAAAACACCAACGGAGTTAGGTATCCGAGAGGGAAAATATATAACAAACTGAAAAATTTGTAGAAAAGCTAAAATAACAATAAAAGTTTCCCAGATTTAAAACTTGCACTGAGTATTGAGCGAAAGTTAAGATCATACAAGTGAGAAATACAAGACTTTTGACAAACAAGGTTATGATAAGTGGATCCTGTAAGATTATATAGAGACTAAAGGTTATGAAAAGTCGAACTGCATGAGCTGTGATTCATTTAAAAGCCAAATCTTAATTCACGAGAATACTGAGAATAAATATTTCAAATGCTGGTGAAAACGAAATCTCCGAACTACGAATTATGAAAATACATGTTATAGATATCACACCCTGAAATATCGAGGGAAAGTGATTCATAAAATGAAACCACTATTATTATTTTTTTTGAAGAAGTCATGATTAGGAAGATCTTGGACTTTCTTGTAAATTCTTTACTTCTTAAATTGTATTTTAAGTTTGCAGGATCTGATATAAGGACACATTCTAAACAAATAATTTGAGAATGACCGTGTTAGATATGAATCTTGAGAATAAATATTGTAAATATCAAATATGTATACATTAATCATTTTGCCAAGCAGTACTGATGAAACGGGAATTCGGCAAAACTAGTCTACTGCAGAGGGAATAGCGAAACAAGTAGTAGATTAGGCCTCTAAGTTCATCATGGATTCTTACTTTTCTTCACTGAAATTATAAATTTTGATGAGGAAAAGCAAACAATTCACAATTAATAAATTTTGTTTTTTTTTTCGTTTGTTTGTTTGTTTACATTAAAATGGATACATATGTTATATGATTGTGTTTCTTTTCATGACTGGAATAATTAAAATAGAGGTTCATGAAATAACCTGTGAAGTCAGTATTCTATTATGTTGGTATGCAAACGACGATAACAGGACATAAAAAACGACTTTAAGTAAAGAATGGCGTAAAATTATATCAAAATGTCACTAAATTTAACAGGAAAGTGTCTGTGTTAAACTTAAACAGTACGTATGTATAAGACTTGGTCACAATACAAAATATGTGTTTTGTCTTTCATAATTTTGTATATCTACGTTGATTTTTTTATTTATTCTAAATTATCTATATTATATTTCTTACATAATGAAAAGTAAAGATATTTTCTATTGGTTCACCAAAAGTAAAGATATTTTCTATTGGTTCACCTATTTTAAAACATAGTATGTGCTACGTTTAAGCTCCTTTTCGTTCCTTTCATTAACTTACAGAAAACAATTATTTAGGTTCACTTTCACTACCTACCTACAAAAAAATAAAGCATTTTTTAGGTTCACTTTCACTTCTCATCTACAAAAAACAACAACATTATTTTAACTTACTTTCATTTCTTACCTACAAAAATAAAACATTTTTAGGTTCACTTTTTACCTACAAAAATAAAACATTTTTAGGTTCACTTTCACTTCTCACCTACAAAAATAAAACATTTTTTTAGATTCACTTTTACTTCTTACCTACAAAAATAAAACATTTTTAGGTTCACTTTCACTTTTACCTACAAAAATAAAACATTTTTAGGTTCACTTTTACTTCTTACCTACAAAAATAAAACATTATTTTAGGTTCACTTTCACTTCTTACCTACAAAAATAAAACATTTTTAGGTTCACTTTCACTTTTTACCTACAAAAATAAAACATTTTTAGGTTCACTTTCACTTCTTACCTACAAACACCAAAAACTATTTCGGCTTACTTTTATTTCAAAAGCAATGGTTCAGTATTTTAAAGTTTGGAACGACTATATTTGGAAAATGGTGGCCCCTGACTGGCCATTTAACCCACGTGTGCATAGGGCGCCATTCAGGTTGAAAATACCAATTCTATTAATTACTCAAAATCTACCCTATTACATTAATGACTCAATTTTACTCACCGTTTGTTTTACTACTTTTTTCTCTTCTTCTAGTGTAATTATCCTATGCCTTGTCCACAGGAAAAGGTCAACAGAGAAACAGTAATATACCACGCAGGAACATATTCAATACTTGGGTACACAAGGCCACTTAAGTACTATCTTACCTGACTACTTTTTTATTATTTTACTGCGTCTTCAGAAGTTGCTAAATCTATAACAAACAATTTAAACATCGAATTAAAAACTAAACTAATTTTCATTGAAATATCAGATGCTTACTTCATTTCCAAGATAAACTTCTTCAGTTAGTTTCAGAAACGATGACAACAACACATCGTGATCATATGTAATTAAGTCTTCATTGATTTTTTCGAAAGAAGGGACAGTTTCCAATCATAGGATTTTTTGGTATTTTCTTTGTGGGAGTCCACAAATGTTTCCAGTAAATTATATGTTTCAATTTTCTAGATTTTTTGGTATATTCTTTGTGGTTGTTCTCAAATGTTTCCAGTAAATTATATGTTGGAATTTTCTAGATTTTTTGGTATATTCTTTGTGGTTGTTCTCAAATGTTTCCAGTAAATTATATGTTTGAATTTTCTAGATTTTTTGGTATATTCTTTGTGGGAGTTCTCAAATGTTTCCAGTAAATTATATGTTTCAATTTTCTAGATTTTTTGGTATATTCTTTGTGGTTGTTCTCAAATGTTTCCAGTGAATTATATGTTTCAATTTTCTAGATTTTTTGGTATATTCTTTGTGGGAGTTCACAAATGTTTCCAGTAAATTATATGTTTATCTTAATCTGATGTTTATTTTGACTCACAAACTCATATTACACCTTTTCTGATATATTGCATATCTTTTTCATAATTTTTTTACTTTTCTTGATAAAATAATTGCTGATTTTTTTCTTACTGTTTGTGTTCAATCTATATTTTAACGAGATTCTCTGATAATGTTTTTTTTGTATCATTATTTGGACTGACTCATATAATCTCCTTTTTTTTTCTCATCTACTCTTTGACCTGTCCGTTATTGTGCTCAGACGTTGTATTCCAGATTCATGATCCACGGCCAAGAGTTGGCGTTGTGTGCTGTTGACTATCTGCCTTCTATCAGCTCAAAGGAACGGCTATGCGCAGATAACAGTTTGCGCAGCTTTGTGTGAAAATTCTAAAACAAACAAATAAACCAATAACTCTAAATTATATATCTTAATTTGATAAGGAATGTCATAATTATGTTTTAAGAGTAAACTTTATATGTTATTAATTCTAGGGCTATGTCACTTTCATTGTAATTATTCAACATATCACGTCATTTTTGATCTTAATGTTGTTGTGTTAATCGATAGGAACTTCATGTATACCACGAGAGCGTGCTATACGACAATAGCCTTGATAAATGTAATTTGCTTTGTTATATTGTAATTATTCGAAATTGAATATACATTGTATTTGTTATTACAACTATTTCCTTCTTCATTGATCGGGCTAAGTCTGAAGGCTATGGTTACAGACTGAAGGCTATGGTTATAGTCTGAAGGCTATGGTTACAGGCTGAAAGCTATGGTTACGCATTATTGCCTCGGGCTGTAACCATAGCCTTCAGACTGTAACCATAGCCTTCAGTTTGTAACATAGCTTTCAGACTTAGTCTGAAGGCTATGGTTACGCGTTATTGCCCGACACCGCCATTTTTAGTTTAACAATATTTTGTAAAGTGCGTCAAGGTCAGTTTTAGACCAGACATTTTCACAAACTTTTCAAAACCAACTTTAAGCAGATGAAATACCCAAACGTTCAATGGAGTAGCAACGAAAGTTTTGGGTGGGTATGTAGTCAAATACGATTGTTGTGATTCTAATTATGTCAGTTATATAATCCTTGGTCTCTATGTGTGTCTAAAACCGTGTGAAATTTGGCTTGTGAACACAAACAGGATTAATTAAGTATACCAGTGACAAAGATAGGATTATTAAATAAGTGTCAATTATTTCTAAATTGGCAAAGTGAGGATTGTCAAAGAATATATGATTCATGTGCTTATTTGGTAAAACTCAGAAACCTGAATCAGATAAAAGGTTCAACTGAGAACCAAATAATCCATATTTTCTAAAACTCAGAAATTATAGAAAAAAGTCTATATAGTCAACGGACGATTTAATTTGATAGAATTATCAAAGAAAATAATTATTGAAAGCTAAACATCAAAGAAAAAATATTGATCACTAAAGAACCATAGTCCATTAGTAACTTAACTATTGCTAGCAACATTACGTATACAGCAAGTCATATTATAAGTGTCTTTAAGGTTCAACATTTTTAAACATCTTGTTAGCGATGCTTTGGGCATATTTAACGTCAAGCAATTTGAAAACATACATAACTGTTTAATGTAATCCTAAAGTCGAAATGTAGTTAAGAAGATAAGCTAACTTACAGTGTTGGTGACCTAGACGTAATCGGCAAATACAATGTATTTGATCTCAACTACTTGTTTTGAGCTTGTTTCAATGCGGTGTTTAGAGCACAAATTTTCTGTAATTTCTGATACAGATAAATGAAAAGATCTAAGCAAGCCAGTCGAATCGTCGTCTTGAGACACTCTGCAAAAAAAACAACAACGATGAAGCCCTTTAAATGTTATCAGCTAAACGTGGGTTCTTCTTAATTCTTTTCAGAATATTCTGTATTATTTAGTTATTTGTTATAACGCTCGTTTTACACTTTTGGGGTGGTTTGATGTATACGTGGTATATTTAACAGAATCTGTGTGTGTTTTGTAATTATGCAGATGTTCCAAGATTTTACACTTGGAGTAATAAGAGATGGGAAATGAGGAAGGTGGGGAAAAGAGTGGAGCAGTATCCGGGTATTTTTGAGGCCAGTGTTTTGGGTCGAGTGTATAACGTTCCCCCACGAAGTGGTGACCTGTACTATTTAAGACTACTTTTTGATCACGTCAAAGGGCCAATATCCTTCGATTCCTTGAAGACACATGATGGAGATATCAAAGATGTCTGCAGAGAGAGAGAGAGGATTGTTGCAAGCTGATGATCACTGGCAACAGACTCTGGAAGAAGCTGAGAGAACAAGACTCCCCAGAGCGATGGGAGATTTATTTGTCGTACTGCTCACAAACACTGAAATCAACAATTCCAGGGATTTATGGGATAGATTCAAGAATTCAATGTCCGAAGATTACCCTCTAATGGAGGGAAGAGCTATCAATAATCCTAACCTTTTGATCAACGAGAGGCATCATGATCTTGCTCTTCTCTATTTCCAAGACAAATTTAACAACTTGGGCAAAATACTTGAAAACTACAGCTTGCCGACAGCAAGAAATGTTGCTTATAATCAAGGTATTGGCAATCTTGAATTATTGCATGAACTGCAATACAACAGAGAAGAACAGCAATAATTTGTTTAACAGAAAGAACCTTTATTGAATAATGAGCAAAGAGCTGTATATGACTTTGTGTATAACTGCTTAGAAATGAATTTTTCTTCAATGATTTTCATTGATGCTCCAGGAGGAACGGGTAAGACATTTCTTATTAACTTGATCCTTTCTAAAGTTAGGGGGAATGGAGATGTTGCTAGTGCTGTAGCATCATCTGGTATTGCAGCAACATTGATGCCTGGTGCAAGATTCAAAATACCCCCTCAGAGTGAAAGAAAATGCCCTGTGCAACATCGATAAAAACTCAAACCCTGCAAACCTGCTTCAAAATACAAAGCTTATTGTTTGGGATGAGTGCACTATGATTAGGAGGGAGAGCTTCAAAGCTGTGGACCGGACTCTCCGTGATATATGCGGCAAAAATGAGGCCTTCGGCGGAATTTTAGCGATCTGCTCTTG